ATCAATGAGGCAGCTGCAGTTTTATGCCTGAATCCCAGCATCATAGAGGCAGAGGCAAGAGGATCAGGAGACCAAGGTCATCTTCTATGTAGCAAATTGGTGACCAGCGTAGAGAACATGAGATCTTTTTTCAAAAATACATCAGTTAACCAACTAAAAAGCACTTCTGCACAGTGGCCACAAGCCCATCCAACTCAGCGCTGATATTCTGCCTCTGAAAGAGTGAGGGAAGGAAAGTTGGCCTACTCATTCACTGTTTCGAAGGCACCTGCTTCTTGATGTCAGTATGGTGACCTTCACTGACGAATGCAGGCCCTTCCCTTCAGAGCATTGTCGACAGTCAGGGCTCTCTTTGCTTAGCCTGGGGCATGCTAGCCTTCCTGGGCTGTGCTTGTGTTACAGTCCATTGCTGGTGCTCCTCCATTCCTCTCTGCTTCCTCCTCCTGGGATGGTTTCTGCTGTCTTCCCGCAGCAGGGTGAGGGACATCATTAGGATGGTGTTCACGTGACTCACAGTCCCATGATGAGTACTGCAAGCCTCTGCTCTTGCTTTTATTTAAACACAATGTAGCTCTGTGCTGGCAGGATGGCAAGCACTTCTTTAAAATGGTATAAAAATAATTACCCTTGGCTATGCTCACTGCCACAGTGATGGGGAGCCAGGGAGGCCAGTCCTCACTGAGCACAGAATGAATTCCAGCAACTGTTGGTTGCACCGTAACTTGCAGCCAGTGGCAAGTCTGACAGACTCGCACTCTGCTCCCACTGTCTGTGCTGTAGCTTAGCACTGTTGTTCTCTCTCCTTAAGGAGCCACGTTTTGCTTCTCTTTTCCATGCTGGGCTTAACCTTCCCCTGTAAGGAAAGAACAGTCATTATAGGATACTAGAACTTAGATGTCAGGGAGAGGACTTAGGGCCTCTCCGCTATGCTTACTACAGTATGCTTTGTGAAGTTCATCCAGTATATCTGCTATGAGGGACATACAAAAACTGACTATTTCTAGATGACAGTTCTAGTCAACATGTTAATTATGAAATATAGTTTCAGAAACAACTCATGGGGGAAGGAAGCATGAGTCTTAGTTTCTAAACACCACCTTAGAGTCATTTAAACTCTTGTCAATGAGCATGTCTTTGGTGTTAGACTGGTTCCTGGGAGTTTCAGGGTACTACAGATGGACCAGGTCTCACAATGGAGACATTTTATGAGATCATCAAAGCTGTTGAAAGACAATGCAGCCTCCTCCGTCTCCAAGAACAGAGCTTGACAGTAACATTTCAGAACAGATGTTTCCATAGCCTCCACATGTTTTTATTTGGTGGCACAAAAGACTGTGTTATTCATGAAATGGTCTGTTAGAGAATTAGTTCCCCTGTGTGGGGGTCGTGGGAATATGTGTAGTATAAATTGATTTTACTTTTGGGAAGAGACTGGCTCTAACTCAGCCAGCCTGAAAGAATGGGCTCCAACAAGTTCCAATTATGAGGCCACAATGTCACACAGGCTGTAGCAGTGACGTAGCCTAGCATCCTTCCCAAAGTGTGTCAGGTTAGCTAGTTGGAGGCCATCATATCATTTATAAAAAAGTAGAAGCCAAGTACAAACCACAGAAGCCTGGTCTTGTAAAGCACAGGCAGAAGGTGGGATCATTCCTGTGGCTGGTTCCTTACATCAGCACCCAATGCATGCCCCCTTCCACTGCTCAGGGATGTTGATGGCAGATGCCCATTTAAAGGAAGAAGCACCATTTGAGATACTGGCAGCGTAGGACATGGTTTCAGGGTCTCCCAGGAGACCTTGGTCTGCTCAGTAATGTAGAATAAAAAGACTGGTCATTTTCACTTCCCATGTCTCATTTGTCGACTGCCCCGATCTGTACTTTCTACTGTGTCCAGCAGCACAGACGTCAGCAGACTGTGACCCGAGGGTCACCTCTGACCTGCCGCCTGCTTTTGTAAGAGAGGTCTGATGGGATCCCAGCTGCTCTCGTTGGTTACACATTTTCTATGGCTGCTTTGCACTTTGTCACCAGAGGCCACTTAGCTAGTGAAACCTAAAATATTTACAGAAAAGTGTGCCAGCCCCTGCAATAGGAAGTCACATACATATTGCCCGTGAACTCAGGCAAGAGAGACAAAGGATCACAGGGCCAGCCTAGGCTCCACAGCAAAACCCTGTCTCAAAAATAACATCAGAGAAGAAAAGGAGGCATATGTAAGATTTTAGTAATTTAGATTCTGAAGTAATTTGGAGAACATAAGAACTATAATTGATGTGAGCTATCCCATCATAGGAGAGTAGTTAAAATATACATAGACAAACGTGAAAACCAAGCTCTTACACGATGACCTGAAAAGTATTCTAAAATTAAAATAATATTTTTCTGATGTATAGTATACCACGATCAGATGTTAAAAGCTGTGCCGTGTTTGGCTGCTGCTGTATTTGTCCATCTCGCATCTGTATGTGTTGGGTCTCAGCACTCGTGTGTATTTCTGGCTGTCCTGAACAATGAGGTGACAAGTACAGGCATTGCTGTGGTGCTTAAGTGCTAAATTATATGTGAGAAGACCAGTCATACAAAATCATAGACACTGTAGAAGAATGACTCAAGAGTGCCTGAAAACAAGAGCCATGTTGGGAGAGAAGCTATATGGAGGAAGGTATATGGAGAAGCCGAGAACTCATGTCTGGCATGGACACATACTAGATGCAGTTCCCAAAACCATAAAGAAGGAAAAAAGGATGGAAGATAGTATTCTACTATAGAGCACTTGTGCAGCATACAGGAGGCCCTGTGTTTAATTCCCAGAAACACATACACACAACCCTTATGAAAACATGATATTAGGTATTGTGATAAGCAGGGGAAAAGAGGGAGGCCGGGCAGAAACAGAGACAGAGAGAAAAGACAGACACACACACACAGAGACAGACAGAGAGAAAAAGAATCTTAATTGTAAACCTTCTTATTTCATGAGCCAAAATAGTCTACTTTGCCAAGATATAAAACATACATTGGATTTAAGAAATTTAATGGCAGGACTAGGGAGATGGCTCAGTAAGTGAAGTGCTTGGAGGACCCGATTCAATCCCCAGAACCCACATTAAAACTGGATAAAATGGTGAGTACATGTAACCCCAGGGCTGGAGAGCAGAGACGGGGTCTTGCAGGCAGGCAGCCAGACCTGCAAGACCGTGATGAACCCCAGGCCACAGTGACAGATCCTATCTCAAACAAGGTGAATGACAGCAGAAGACACCCAAGATCGTCTTCTGGCCTCACGCGCGCACACACAAGCACACACACACACAGTAACATATGTACCAAAAAAAAATAGCATGAAATAACTATGTGATGTGTTTGTTCAGTCCAGGTCTATTAACTTAAATCAAATCTACTGTTAAAATTGATTTCACCTTTTTCTTTTTATTATCGTGGCTACAAGAAAAATATACATAACCCAGCCTAAGCAGCTGCTAGCCACTTAATGAGTGTTTGTGGTGCAAATGGGTCCCACCTCATCTTAGGAAAAGCTTTTTAAAACACTGATCACAGATTCAAATAAATTAAACTCTTAATGATAGACCTGAGCAGGTGACATTTACAGACTTTCATCAAACAGTTTCTTGGTAAATAGCTTGAATCATGTGCAATAGATTTGCTTTCCGAATCTATAATTTCTTATTCATATATACATGACAAACTATAAATCGCCATTGTTGGTAGTTGGGAATATTGGCAAGTATCTGAAGTCTCTGGCAGATGTTCTGTGGTCACAATCAAGAGAATATAAATTTTAACTCCCACGGACAACTGCTTTGGCCCCTCACTCATCTCCTAACACAGAGAGACAGTCTCAACTTGAAAGACACTTTCAAGCTGTATCTAATCTACTCCTTGGCTAGGCTAGCTCCTGAAGTAATTTTGAGCTTGTGCACAGCATCCAAGCGATGCCTTTTTAAGGAGGCCACTGTCCTTTATGGCTTTTGAACTAATTCCCTCCAGAGTCAAACTCTATCCCTGTCAGGGCCATTGATCTCACTCCACCATTACTGGCTCGCTGCCTTCCCACCCGAGATTGCTGGTATCTACCCCCATCGAAAGGTCCATCAACAGGCACTGGGCTTACTCCCTTGCAGGTATCCTGACTCCTTCCTCCTGCCTCACTTCTCATACTCACTGGCAATTTCACAGCCGGGGAATTTCTCTGCCTACTGTGTGCCAACCTCTGTGTGCCTGACCTTGCCTGGAAGAAAAACACAGTTGTGCTCTCTGGCTCCAGTTTAATTCTCAGCCAGGCACCTGCAGTGGTGATTTCATGTCGCCCAGCAGTCATATTGCATCATAGTTCTCAGTAGGCACTTGACAACCTTTTTTCTCTTTCACCTCCAACACTCCCTCTTTCAACCTTACTGATACCTTCTCTCCAACTCTGGCTCCGGCGCGGGCCCCACTGCAGCTGAAGGTGGGCTGCCCTTGCCTTGTCTGGAGTTGCTTCTCCTTCTAGCATCAGACGTCTCTGAGCTATACCCCAACCCTGATTTTATTCCAGTTTAAATGTTAACTTCAGAAAATTTGTTCTGCTGTGGTATGGAGCCTTAGTTTTAGAAAGTAATGGGTGTGTTATTATAACTAAATGACAAGAAAATGTACTGCTAAAAACAAAATGAGCAACTGCTTATAGCAGAATGCATTTTCCCTTAGAGGTCTAATGACACACAGGCATCCATGTGATGTAATTTTAGAGCCCTGATAATAAACCTTGAATCTGAACAGAAAAAGATAAAATACAGTTTGTTTTCATTTTCACACTAAGTTTCGAAAGTTGTGTAGATTCTAGTTTAACAAAACCTTCAGGAGTGATCAACCCTCTTTAACATGATAATGAATAGCAATCTACGACAGAGAAGAGCTGGCAAAAAGGAAGAGGGTGTTGTCTGTGACAGCTGTCCAGCATAAGCATTTCACTTCTCTTCTGCTTGTTGTGTGTTTTAGGACAATTCAAGCTGCTGGAGCAAGACCGGGATATAAAGGAGCCGGTGCAATATTTCAACAGTGTGGAGGAAGTGGCCAAAGCATTTCCTGAGCGTGTGTACGTCATGGAGGAAATTACATTCAATGTGAAGGTAGCTCTACAACCAGATACTCACCCCTCACTGAAACACTGTAACATTCAAGTGTATGACACACTAGGTGTGCGCATCTGTTCCTCCTAGGAACCATCCGTCCATCCTCTCAGATGAGTGTTAGCATCGGAAACGCTATAGGTGGTAGAGCCGACCTGACTCCTAGAAACACACTTGATTTATTACCACAATCTTTATTTGAACTTGAAACTGTTAATTTCAAAAATGAGGTTGCTGTATTATTTCTTTTTCTCATGGCTGAGACAAATACCAAGAAAAGCCAGTTTAAGAAAAGAGGAGTTTATTTTGGCCCACAGTTTGAGGGGACAGTCCCGTCAGAGTGGAGAAGTCATGGCTGCAGGAGCTCAAGGCCACTGGCCTGATCACATCACAGTCAGGAAGCAGAGAGAGTGATGACTTGGGCTGCTCAGCTCACTCAGCTCACTTTCCTCTTTTTATCTAGTCTGGGATCCCAGCCCATGGATTAGCTTCAGCTAATCCAATCCAGAAATTCTCTCACTGACAAGGCCAGAGTCTTGTTCCCTGGCTGAGTCTTGTTCTGTCATGTTCATAGTCAAGACTAAGTATTGTAAGCCGGGTGCACTGGTGCATGCCTGTAATCCCAGCCTGCCGGGAGGCGGAGGCAGGAGGATCTCTTGAGTTCAAGGCCAGCCTGGTCTAGAAAGCAAGTCCAAGTCCAGGACAACCATGGCTACACAGAGAAACCCTGTCTCACAAAAACCAAAACCAAAACAAAACAAAACCTTAAGCATCACAATTCCTAAGCAAATAAAAGATATTTTTAATTTGATCTTCATCCTCTGATTTGTAACTGCTGTTTCACCAGAGACACTGATAAGCTGGGTCTCCACTCTTTGAAGCAGAAAAACCTATGATGAATCAAAACTCAACATTTCATTATTTTAAATAGCAATCAAAGAGGAAGGAGGGAGCTCCCAAGATGAGCACACATCCATTCTCTGTGGACTGACTGTTTCAGTGTACAGAGAAATGTGATGTTCGGAATCCCGCCCAGACACAACTTACCGTTGGCCATGAAGCCTTTGCCTTGCGTTCCCAAAGGTGTGCGGCCACATGTGAGCATGCTCCTCTGACCAGACCGGCTGGGGCAACAGGGCCATCGCACACGGATCCAGTTGCACCATTCACACACCTGCTCCATTTTGTCATCAACACCCGCAGTCACTCTCAAACACCTTATTGAGTGTGCACGTTAAAAGGATTTCCTGCTTACCGTCTTTTACACAGGAAGTCCAACTAAGTCAGATTCTATGAACAGGTGAAAAGCTAGGAGTCGACATACCTGTTTCTTAGGAATACGTTCTCTCTGAACAGCATGCTACATGAGGTGTTGGCCCAGAACAGCATCAGCGACTCTGTGGGTGAGTCGCTCTACCCACACCCCTCAGGACACACAGGACCTGGTAGCTCCCAACTGAATAGGTGGTTCTGTCCGTGACGATGGCTAGGGCATGCCATTCATCCGCCCACTCTAAAGACAGCCCCTGTGGTCTGCTTTCTATAGTTTTATTATGAGAATTAGTGAGACTTTATACTGTGTAAAAATCTTTTCCTGCATATGTTTTACTTACATAAAAGTCTGTTTTGTTTTTTTTAATTCCTCCAGTGTCCCAGCATATAAGCTATCAAGGTAGCAAACCTTCTATTTCTAAACTTACTAGGATTCATTAATTCATAGGATAATTGGTGGTGGTGGTGGGTAGGTGGTTTTGCTTTTAAAGTTTTGGGGAGTTGGAGCACAAACTAGGGCTCCAAGCACACCAGTTGAATGTTGCCACTGGTCTACCCCAGGAAGGTGGAGTTGACTTCCTGGGTGTTTTATAAATTCTAACTTTCCCCTTAAAACTTTTGTTCAAAATCAGCTAAATGAAAAAACTAAAAGTCAAACTAACACTTTTAGATTCTTCTCTAAAAGTATTTATCTCCTAAGTGGTGACAAGTCAGAAGTAAAAAATTTTTTAGGACTTTGAAGATTAATGGTCTAACTTTGGTCACGTGTTGTTCGCATGATATGTTTTGAGACAGGGTCTCACTGTAGAGCCCTGCTCAGCCTAGGACTCACTACGTAGTTCAAACTCACAGAGATCCACCTGCCTGGGATTAAAGGCATGTGCTGCCACACCAGCCTCGTGCACAATATTTTTAAAGATGCTTTTTTTTTTTAATTTTGTGGTTAATCATTTAATATGGTCTAGGGAGATGGCCAAGTCAGACACATGCTGTGAAAGCATAGGGACCTAAGTTTAATCCCTACCATCCCCAGTCAGACATGACCTTGCACCTTGCATGCCAGCAATCCTGGAGCTGGAGAAGCAGACAGCAGGATCTCAGGCTTGCTGGCCAGCCAGCACAGCTGATGGCTGGCTTCCAGGTTCAGTGAGAGATCCTGGCTCAAAAAAACAAGGTTGAGGAAGATAATCAGCATTGACCTGTTACACACACACACAAACATGAGCATACATAAATATACACAGCACCAAAAAAAAAAAAAAGTGTGTGTAATAGACACACAAGCCTGAGGGCACAGATTAGTGTATGAAATATGAGCTTAGAGCATCCAGAGATAAGTGGATTTAGACTGAGTTCCATGTGTGCAAGCATCAACTCTTGATAGCATAGTTATTTCATACTGACAGAGTGTTTAGAGCCATCACATCCAGTTTGCATCAATCACTAAAACGTTCGCTTCTAATCAAAGAAACATTAATATTAACAGAGAAATCTTGGGAAATTTGTCAAGTGAAATATTCAGGACTTTGTATGCTTAGTGAATGCACAACCAAGTAAGTGAGTGAACCGAGGTCCATTGTGGGAGTGTCGACCGGGTGCTACACAGACTGAAGGTCAGTGCTGGGAATCACAGTCTCTAACTAAAAGTAGACATGACATTGGTGTTGTGCAGACTGGGGAGGTAAAGAACGCCATGTTGGCTTACAACATCCACTGGAGCAACCCACCTGCGAGTCCAACCTCAGAAGGCAGAGACAGTTGATCCCCCGCAAGCTGATCCACGAGACCAGCCATGTCAGTGAGCTCTGAGAGTTCCTGGCTCGGTGAACAAGTAGAAGAATGGTCATGGATGATTCTTGACATCAAACTCAGGCTCCCACATGCACGTACGTATGCTTGTCTTTATGCCTGCATACACACACGTGAAAATAGAAAAGAAATGCCATAAATTAGGCCAGTAGGATACACTACTGAAATTTTTGTAGTTATGAAATCATGACTAATTGGCTTCATAATTGTCAAAAGACATACATATTTGCATGTATACATAAGTATGCATATATACTGAGTCAAAATTGAAATAATTGTAATAATTTGAAGTAAGATCAAATACATTAACATAATATCAAGTCAAGGTTGGAAATAAAGCTCAGTAGTAGAAGGGGTGTTTTGTTTTTGTTTTTGTTTCTGGTTTTTCAAGTCAGTTTCTCTGTATACTCCTGGCTGTCCTAGAACTCACTCTGTAGACCAGGCTGGCCTTGAACTCCACCTACCTCTGCCTCCTGAGTATTGTGATTGAAGGTGTGCACCACTACTGCTCAACTACTAGTAGAGTTCTTACTTTAGCATATTTATGCCCTAAGTTCATGCATCAACACTGCAAAAATAATAAATCAGCATTAGTTCTGTCTTTTGTCCAAGACGATAGTAAAAATATAAGTACAGTGGATAGTGCCAAGGCCATCTATACTTACTTAAAAATGGTGTGTCTTTGTTTCCTTTTATACTTTATTCAGGCTCTTTATGCAGGCCTGATGCTGGAGAGATGGCTCAGCAGTTAGGACTGCATACAGCTCTTGCAGAAGACCCAAATTCACTTCTAAGCAACAACACAGAAGAGTCTGTAACTGCAGCTCCAGGCGATCAAACATCTTCTTCTAACCTCTATGGGCATCTGCCTTCATTGCAGACAGACAAAGAGACACACACAGAGATACACATACAGATACATAGACACATTGTGTAACCCCCAGAGCTCCCAGATCTTCACCTCCACAATGGGAGTGAGCCTGCTACTTTAGATTTGCACTGTGAGAATTAAGTGAAGCCATGCGGTCCAGTCCTCTCTAAGTATCTGCTGTGGTATTCGTAACCCATGGGCTGTGGCTAGGCCGCTCATTTCTGTATTGCTGTGTGGAGCACACCCTGTCCATTTATGTGTTGGCTATGGCTTCTTTCACCCCAGCAGCAGTGAACAGAGCCTGGGGCTCCCAAAGCCCATAAGGAAAAATCTGCCAGTGCCTGATGCAGAACATTCAATCACACTAAATTGTTTCTCATTTTAGAAGAATTCCCCCCGCACATTATTTCACTTCCACTTTATTTAATACTTCATAACCATTGTATTCATTAAGCACTCCATATAGAGAAGCTAGATTTTGTCACTGATTCAAAATTACCCCTTTATTCTAATATCTTTAGGGGACATTACACTAATAGCTCGTGAGTTATTTGAAATGTCTTCAGCCTTTCAAACTCAGCCCAGTGCTGATGAGAAATTTTCCCTCACATGCATTCTTGCCATCAAAATAATGACTAACCAATTAGGTTTTAATTCACGTTCTGTTCTTATTGCAGCAACCGGAGGGAGGAGGGTGGGGAGAAGGGAGGTTTGATTTGGCATTGGATCTGCGCTCTCGTGCCCTCACTGCTGCCCTCAAGTACAAAGGGGCACGACTGCTCTAGACTGGATGCCACCATACTGCTTTTAGTTCCAGTCTGTGAGGGCCAGCTCTTAGCTCTCTCAACAGACGTTTCCCCGGAGGCAAAGTAACAAGTTGGCATTGTCTCAAGAAAGGAAAGTGACCCACTCAGATGTCAGTTGTGGACAGTCACCGTCTCGACCTGCCCAGACCTCATAGAAGAACCTTCTGATTATTGTGTTTAGGGCCTGCTACATCAAAGGTATCTTACTTAAGGCTTATACTGCTGTGATAAAACACCATGAC